TGTATGTGTTGGCTATGTGTATGTCTTCTTTGGAAACATGTCTGATCAGTTCTCTATCCATTTTTTTTTTTTTTTTTTTTTTGGTGAGGAAGATTGGCCCAGAGCTAACATCTGTGGCCAATCTCCCTCTTTTTGCTTCAGGAAAATTGACCCTGAGCTAACAACTGTGCCACTCTTCCTCTATTTTGTATGTGGGATGCCTCCACAGCATGGCTTGATAACCAGTGTGTAGGTCTGCGCCTGGGACCCAAACCCATGAACCCTGGGCCACTGAAGCAGAGCACTCGAGCTCAACCACTATGGCAGTGGGCCAACCCCTTCTTTCCATATTTTTGATAGACATGTGTTGACTTACAGAAAGCCCATTCTTGCCAAAAACTGGTTAATGACTCACCTTTTGTGATGCTGAGTCAGTCTCATCTGATCTGTTACCAGAATCCTTATTTTTTTCATCTGTTTCTCTTTGCCTAGGAGAGAAAAGAGTCAATAGCCATCTTGTTAACACATACTCAGGTCTGGAAGAAGGCTTAGAGCTTATGTATCCTAAACAATTTCCTTCATAGAGAATCTCTCTGTATATCCCCAAAATGGACAGTCAGCTTGGTTATTAAGAAACTCCTTCCCCACAAGGTGGATATTCTAGGTAGATCAACTCAAGTAATTTCAGAGTCTCCTTTGTTTGAGTCCAAATTTATCTCCTTATAACTTCCATCCTTTAGGTTTATTTCACATTCTCAGGACAACACAGAACAAGCCTGCTGGATCCATACCTCCTCCCGATATTAATCCTTCAGATATTTAAAGGCAAGTTTCAGGTCTCCAAATCCAGCTTCCCCAGCTCTTTCACCTTTTCTTCATACGCTGTGGTTTTTAATTCCCCATCAACTCACTATTTTAGTTCTTTGATTTGTAGGTCAACCCATTATAATATTATTTCTTAAAGTATGGAGGTCAAGATAGAAAGAAGACAAGTAATCTAGAAAGTACCTTAAGATCATGTTATTTTTTTTTAATCTCCTACCTTTCTGATAAAATATTTATGCCAGAGGTCCCTAAGTTTTCATATGCCTTAAGAATCACCTGTGAAATTTTTAAAAATTCAGATTCACTAACCATCCCAACATTCTTATTGACAAGATCTGGATTGGGACTCAGTAACCTGATTTTTAACAAGCAAGCCAGGTTGGCCCAAGATCCAAAGACTGTAAAACTCTAATACATGTATTTCTCTTTCAAATTTTCACTTGGTTTTGCACACAAAACAAATGTGTATGTAGGTATGTAACACGACATATATATATATGTGTATGTGTGTGTATATACATGTATATATATTCTATTTAGGGAGCTCCCTTTGTGTATGTGAGAAATAGGGAAATGGTAATAAAATATATCCTAAAGATTCAAACAAATATAAAGTCATGAAATTTTAATCAAGTAGACTCTTGGAAAAAGACAGTACCTATAACGATTCACTTTGGTGGAATTCAAGTTATAGTCATGGCTCTGCTCAAAAACTTCCAGTGGCCTCTGATTACATATAGAATAAAATCCACTGTCCTTTTCTTGGCCTAAAAAGCCTTATATGATCTTTCCAAACTCATTTCCTGCAGTTTTCCATGCAATAATCCTGAGACATAGTGACCTCCTTTCGGTTTCTTGAGCTTGCTAATTTCACACATATCTTCAGACTTTTGCATTGGCTCTTGCTCTGCCTGAAACTTTCTTCCTCCAGACAGCCAAATGATTCACTTCACTCACGTTTTACAGGTCTTCCTCACACATCAGGCTTTCCCTGAACACCACAAATAAAGTAGTAACTCCAATCCCTTTCTGTTGCCTTACTCTGCTTTATTTTTCTTTTTACTGCCTGGCCTTGTGTTATGTAGTTCTTTGCTTATTTGTTAATGATCTATCTTCCCTATGTTACATTATAGTTCCATAAAGGCAGGAACTTTGTCTTGTTCACTTGAAGAGTACTTGTCCGTGAAGAGTGTGCATTACATAGTAGGTAGTCAAGTCAAAAACCATTTATTGTCAGATGAAGGGTTTCCAAAGACTATAAAAAATATTCCATTTATATGTGTTTTGTTAAATACTCCATGTGAATATCTTATAACGTGGATGACACTGATTATGACAGCAGAGTTTTATCTTAATAATTTTCTGCATCTGAGAATCATCATTTGTTCTTTCACAAAATTATCCACTATTAATATGTGATGCAGAAAAAAACAGAGTCATAAGTGAAGAGCTATCTCAATTATGTTTGTTGTATCTGTGAAGTATGTGTTGTGCAAAGGGGCACCCTGGTACAGTGTAAGAGATCGTAACATTAGTCACTATTTATCACCATTAATGACCATACCCATATATTTACTAAACACTAATAACGGTGCTGACCGTGACGATTCACATTTATTGTGTGCCTACTTTGTGCTAGGCGCTGTGCTAAGAGTTTTACATGGTTCCTTTCATTTAATTTTCAAAAGAAACACTACATAGCTACTGTGATTTTTGTTGCCATCACCCCCATTATAAATATGAGCAGACTGAAGCCTAGGGAAGGGAAATAACCTGTCCAAGAACATGGAGCTGTAATAGCATCTGATGCTGAAGCCCTAGCACTGCCACACTCTGCCACCCTACTTCTACCAAAGAATTTTAATAATGTGGAATAAATACTAGTCTGGTATTCAAAAGAACTGGATTCTCGTTTCAGCTCTGAAGCTCCCTCCCCCATAAGACCGTGAATAAACTAATTTCAGTTTTTGTAAATGCAGCATTTGGATTAGTAAGATTTTCTCACGTGGCCTGTATTACTACAAGATTGTAATTTTTTCCAAGAAGAAAAGTGAAGAAGCATTAAATACTTATTAAATACATATCAATTAAATGCCATAATTAAGAGCGTTGTGATATAGGCATCAAGTTTTAAAACTACGAGTAGCCATCAAGGTCACCTAGAAAACTACCTCAATATACAGAGGGACTGATGGTGGTTATGTTACTTTCCCCAATAACACAAATCAAGAGTGGCTGATCTAAATCACAAAACACTCCAACTCAGAACCATCCTTCAAGAAAAAATAGACAAAAGGAACACACTCTGGATTATGCGATGTGTGCTCCATATATATGATAAGAAATAGCCCTCTTAAGCTATATGCTTGGTCAACTATTCCAAATGACTATTGCGAAGTCTCCCTAGGATTAGGCATGATGTGTTCTAAAAAGCAAGTATCTACTATGATGGCATTTACAGGTCACAGAATTCTGACAGAAAATAGAGTAGAAATAAGCCACTTGCTGGGGTTCATTGTTCCTTAGGGAAGGCAAAGAGATAATATTTGGGAATTAACAAAAAGAATAATTTTTATGGAGGGAACAATTGAGCAATAGCCATTAATTCAGGAGGACTATGCAGGCATCTTTTAGATATGCCTGTTGAGAGAAGTACTTACAGTATCTCTTTACACATGGTACACTTATTGTTGTAAGATTTGCCATTAGCATCACGTACAGGATCGCTCTCCCGAGTACAGCTGAGTTTTCCATCTTTCATTATTTGCCGAAACTCAGCACACTGGTCCTGAAAAAAGAGAAGACAGCAGGCCTCTCAGATTACTTGGTCTGTTGTATTGTTATCAAGTTTGTTAAACAATTTGAGTAAGAAAATTGTTTAACAAATTGTTCTTGCCTGCCTCCTCTTATAAGGAATATAACATCTAGGATTGCTAACCACAGACAAAGGAGGGGCTAGAATCATCCATATTCTAAGACATCAGTTGTCACAGCTAATAATGTTCCTTTTAATGTTCCACACAGGAAATTATATAGCTGGTTCGGACTTAGTAGCATAGATGAAAGGTCAGCAAACTATAGCCTACAGGACTAATCTGTCCTGCTGTCTGTTCTTATATATAAAGTTTTCTATATAAACTTGAAAACTAGTGTCCTAGTATTGCTAAGTAAGGGAAATAGAGTTCAGTGAGGTGAAGTAACTTATTCAGTGCTTCACAAGTCCTGTATGTCAGGGGCAAGATCATACCCCAAACTATCTCACTCCAAAACCCATGCTCTTTCGCCATCTTATGCTGCCTTGGATCAACAGAAAATATAGCTCAAAAAAGTGGCTCCATTCAGGGAAAGAGAGAACAATAAAAGAAAATGAGAAGCCTGTGATGCTCAGCGGAAACATCCCCAAATTTGTACCACTTACTCTCCTGTGATCAATGATTGGCATGAGAGCTAGATTATATAAAGAGGAGGCAGGAGTCTAGAATAAGGTCATCAAGTTGACTATTTCCAGGTTTAAAAAAGTTAAAATGGGCCCTGGACAGACTAAAAATTGCTGAGATATTACCCTACAGTCTTAAGGGGAAAATCTGTCCTTCCAAAGAGGCTTTCACGCCCAGCACTACATACATTGCCTTTTCCCACAGGCTATGCTGTGGCCCCACTGTCAGAGTTGAGTCCACTCTGGTTACAGAAATTAGAGGTTGCTCTCACCCGAGATTTCCCTCCTCCACCACGGGAACCATTCCCTGCGGCATTTCTCTGATTTTCCTCTTCTTTTCTCTTTCTTTCTTCATCTTCTTTCTGGCTGGAAATTAGAAAGTGGGAGGTAGGGAATAATAGATTACAGAGAATGGAATGCATTTCTATAAGTTTCTCATCAAAAGACCAAATTCAATTTGTATAGAATTCACCAGCATTTATTGAACATCTACTATGTTGCAAGCCCTCTTCTCTGAAAATAAAAAGATGAATAAAAAGATAAATTTTGCCTGGCAGAGTTCTCATTGCACCAGAAGAAAATTAACATTTACATAAACACAAGCAAGTCTAGGTGAGCAATTAATTAGCATTTCATAAATGCTCACTGTGAATCTCCAACTGGATTTCTCTCAAATACTTCATATTCAAGAGGTCCAAAAATAATGATCTTCTCTGCCAAAAATATTCTTCCTCCGAGATTCTCTTTCTCACCAAAAACAAAACATCAGAGCCATCTGTAACTGCTCCCTCTCCTTCAGCTCACATAGCTGTTGCCACACATCGATTTCACCTTCACGTCTCCCGTGTTGATCCACTCACCTTTTATCCTATTTCCCTTGCTCTGGTTACTCCCTGGGTTACTGCAATCCCCTACCACCACAAGCAGCATTCTGAATTTTAGTCTTTTCCTTCCTACGAATCTTCCTAAAGGAACTCTATTTATGCCACTTTCTCTCCTACTTGAAACATTTCAGCAGCTTCCAACTATACATAGAATTGACTTCAAAATCCTTGATCTGGCGTACAAAGATGGTAAAGTTAAGTTCTAACTAAATAAAATGACTTGCTCTTTAATGTACATACTACTGTTTTCTTAATTTTAGATCTTTACTCATGCTGTTCCTCTCTTTTCCTCTCATTTCTTCCTGTACTGTCCACATCGTATCCAAATTATAAGGTCCAGTTCTATCACCCTATAAAACTTTTTATTAACTCTTCCTTCACTGAAGTACCACAACACATTGTATACATCATTTTTCATTCAGCAATTCCTCCTTTGTATTATATTAACTTATGCCCATGTCTAATCCCTAGTAAACTATGTGATTTCTAGAAAGACTGCTTCATCTATGTATAATCATTATACATGTTATACATTGTAGATGTTCAGTAAATGGCTGTTAAATGACTTAAATATTTTAAGTGTACTTCCAAACTTTGTGTAAAGAGCTATTTTACATTTCCTGAAAATGTGATATTTTCAAAAATGTAGGTAGAGGAGTTAGATTGATAGTAAAATCTGTGTGTTTTTTCCCCAATGGGAATTACAAGATAATCCAGAGAAGGGATCCACCTGACAGCAAAGGACTTGGAATTTTATCAAGAAAGATGTTGTGATGTATTGGTAGGCTTTACCTGAGAACTAAAGGAGAATGTAATAACTTAGTCATATATTGTCGATTTCTAGAATTGTGAGTCAGCCTTTATAAAGGAAGATTCACTTAAAATGCTTTACAGATAATCATTTGTTGCTTTTACATGTAAGGAAAGGATAAACACAGTATATATTATCTTCCCAGCTCTTTGCCTCTCCAACTCTGCCAACCCACAACCTTCATTTGTGCACTCACAAGACTGCTTTACACATGGCACACTTGTTGCTATGGGTCTTGCCATCTGGGCCACGCACGGGATCATTTTCTCGTGTGCAGAAAAGACTTCCATTTTGAAAAAGGCTTCGAAATTCACTGCATGCATCCTAAAAGGAGGAGAAAAGTCAAGAGCTTGAGTATTTTTTTGGAAATTATCTTTGTTGGGTCCCTACTAAGTGCTTTCTGGACAAAAGAGAAAATGACCTAAGCATTTTTTTCCGGCAATTGTTTCATTCAATTACTACTAAGCACACAGGACTTAAAAAGACATTTCTGTTTCTTTTTGCTTGAGAGTTAGCCTCAAAATCCAGACTGAACCTGCAATCACATGCAAGAAAGAATCTCTTAACAAACTGGGTTCTCTGAGGACTGGTCACAGTCCTTACTCAGAGTTTTATTCTCCATCTCATATTATAATGAAATAAAAATACTGTACACGTCATAGAATAAAAAAATTTCAAGTTTGTATAGAATTTCAAAGTTTATCTGGTCCAACTATCCCTACTATATCTCAGTCCCCTTTATGTCATGCCTGTCAAGAAGTTGTCTAATTTGCATGGGAACACCTGCAGTGATAAGGAGTCCATTACCCTCCAGATAGTTCATTCTAAAGTTTCTATTAGATAGTTCCCACAAATTAGCCACAGTGCTACTTTTAGGGGATCTTGGAAAATAACTCTAATAAATCCTATAGGATTCCTACTCTTAGGGTTTTATTTTTCTAAAATGTCATCGCAAATCAGATGAGTATGTTCCTTCAGACCAGTAAGCAAAATCGAAGTATTTTACTTCCTTCAGAGAAATTGAGAATATTTTTCTTCTTCCACATGAGAGTCCTTCAGATATTTGGAGAAAGCTTTATTATCCTTCTCCCATATCACCCTATGTTCTCTTCCAACAGCTAAACATCCCCAGATACTTCAGTCATTCTGTTTCAATCATTTGCACCATTTCTCATTCTGAATTCTTCCCCTTTCCTAAAGAATTTAACATAATATTCCAGGTACGGCCAGACAAGAACTAGCATGTTGACAGCTATATTATATTGTTAATTAGAATTCCAATCTGCCACCAAGAGACCTTAGGTGAGGGGTGTGGCCTCTCTGTGCCTCAGTTACCTCATCTTTTAAATGGAAATATTAATAATATCTATTCCACATGGTTAAAATAATAACGGCCAATATGCATTGAGTACTCAATATACATCCTGGATTGTTGTGAGAATAACATGAGATAATACACGTCTGTAAATCTATAATAACTAACATCTAGGAAGTACTCAGCAAATGTTTGTTCCAGAGTTGTGTGAGGAATTGAGAGAGAATAAGCAAATCACTCAAGATCAGAGAGTTAATTACTGGTGCCAATTAAGATTCAATTTGTGTTTTTTTCTGTATCTTTTAGTTCAAGTTGAAACTCAATGAGGACAAGAGTGAGTTTTTCTCCCAGCTCTGCTTCAAAGTTCACTGCCACATTCCTTAACTGGTCATACTTAGCAAAAGAAATATATTATGAGAGAATTGTTTATAGTAACTAACATGAAATCAGAAATTGTCTCATACTGAAGAATTTCCTCTCGTAAATGTTCAAAAGTGAATCATACTAGCTACTCATATTATTTTTAAATTCAGACTTACAATTGTGGGAAATACAATTGTAAACAATACCGAATTCCAAGTGTGATACTTTTCGTTAGAGGTTATTTTTAATATCGATAGTTTTCGATGGGGGCAAGAAAATGACCACAAACCTTGAAAAATCTGCCTGGAATCAGTCTTTTTGCAACCAAGAAAAAAATTACTTGGGAAACTTGCTTTTCTATTTTTCCCAAAAATGCTGGTACCAGAAATAATTAAAGGTAAAGCAAGAAACACACCTGGTTTGACCAAACATGGTCATTCAAAACTACATAACGTGTTAGGGATAATGCTAGAGTTGGTGTCAGGAAGTCTACATTTGAATTCTATTGTTTCCACTTTCAACTGTGAGAATTTTGAAATATGAAGATATGGATTCTGATACCAACACTCCCACTACCTTTATAAGCAAGTTCTTCTTTCTCTCCAGATTTTAAATCTTCATTTAAAAATATGGGAGTGGAGTAAATCGAAGATTTGCAAACTATGGCCTGTGAGCAAAATCTGGCCCACCATCTTTTTTTTGTAAATAAAGTTTTATTGGCACAGCCATGCCCATTTGCTTGCACATTGTATATGGCTGCTTTACAGCTGCATCAGTAGAGCTAAGTAGTTGTGACAGAGACTGAATGGCTACAATCTAAAATATCTACTATATGGCCCTTTAAGAAATATTTTGTCAACTCCTTGACTAAATAAACCTCGAGTTCTCTCATATAGGCCTTCAGTAATTCTGTGATTTATTTTTAAAGAGACACTGCAAAACCTTGTCCTTACATTGTGGTACGAACTTTCCAGGACAACTACCTTTTTAGCTTCTCTCTTAGCGTTTGCTCTAGATTCAGCTTCTTCTTTTTCTTTTGCTTCTTGCTGGCTGTAAGAAGAGGGAGGGAAAAGAATCATTTCTAGCACCCGATACATATTATCCTAAAGGGGAAATCTCTCTGGTAGATTACTTCTACGCCTCTACCAACCTAGCTTGGGAGTAGCACGGTAAATGCACACCCCTCCACACTGTTCTCCTTGTTATTAATGTTGCGTAAAGAATAAGACACACATGCCTCAGCAAACCAGTAAATAAATTTTCACTACTGTATTTCTTTTGGAAAATAAAGATATTGTCCTTTTCCCCTGAAAGCAACTAAGATACTTAAAAATATTGACTAGATGTTAGCAAACTTTCAACTTGTTAGCACCCAGTGGTTACATCTTTGGATTATTCATGCTAGTATATACGCAGAGAACAGAAATCCCAGTCCTTGTCTGCCATTAACTCTGGGGGAATTTGCCCTTAGCACGTGGTCCTCCCTGGATGGCAATTCAAGTACCTCTCAGAACACTGACAACACTAGAAAGAAATGCGCTAAGTATATGGCTTTCTAATAGTAAATCCCCAAACTCAATGCAAAGGTAGCCTTCATTATCTACCTCCTAGAGAAAACCTTTGATATCATCTCTCTCTTGCCCACCCCAGAGCTATCTTCTCCTACACTCAGCAGCAGAGTGGCTGCAGCTCCACTCACAAGAATGCCTGACACATGGAGCAGGTGTTGCCATGGATTTTTCCATCTAGGCCCTCAATGGGGTCATTCTCTCTGGTGCAGGGAAGTCGTCCATCTCTCACATAGTTACGGTATTCGCTGCACAGCTCCTGCCAAATGAGGGAGGATTTAAGAATCAGGTAACTAAATATTGGAAAGCTTCCTCCACATTACCCCTTTGAAAACTATGATATAATGCCCCAAGATGTAACAGATGTATCAAAAAGGTGATACAGTAGGTCGATATTAGCCAAGATGATTTTCAGAGGCCTAGGTCACACACTATTTGGAATACAAGATTGCTGCTACTTATCTCATTAGAAATCTTCAATTTAATTCAAATATTATTCTGAGCTAGGCACTGTGAGAGATACAAAGAATAATAATTTATTGTCCCTTTTGTAAAGGAATTTGTGGTTGGCAGAATAATAGCAAGCCACCACCCCCTAAATTCATCCAAGTCCTAATATCCAGGACTGGTGAATATATTAACATACAGGGCAAAAGGGACTTTGCAGATGTGATTAAGTTAAGGACCTTGAGATGGAGAGATTATCCTAATGTGCCCAATGTAATCACAAAGGTCAGTCCCTAACACTGGAAAAGTGAGACAGAAGAAAGAATAAGAGGGAGATGTGACTACAGAGGAACAGTCAGAAATGCAATGTTGTTGGCTATGAGGATGATGGAAGGGGTCCAAGAGCCAAGGAACATGGATGGTCTCTAGAAGCTAGAAAAAGCAAAGAGAGAGATTCTCCCCTAGAGATTCCAGAAAGAGACAAAGCCCTACCAACTTTTTGATTTAGCCTAGTGAGAATCTGTGTCACACTTCTAACCTTAAGAACCATGAGATAATAAGTTTGTGTTGTTTTAAGCCACCAAGTTTGTGATAATTTGTTAAAGCAACCATAAAAACCTGATACACAGTTTTTAGTTGGCTTGGAGAAAATACATAGAAACATCTGTAAGTTAGAATAAAACAAATGATATAATTGAGAAATAAAGGAAAACTGCTAGCATAATAGATGATAGAGCTGTTAAATATATTGTATAAATGGGAGAAATCTTTAGGGAGCAGAAAATACTTAATCTGAGCCATGAAAAGCGGCCAGAATTTTGACAGATAGAGGGAAGGGACAACTGAGTATGAGGAAAGCCATATAGAAGGTAAAGTTCAGTGTATCTATAATATTGAGGACTTAAGACATGCGAGGGACTGTGCTATTAATACATGGATAAATTCCTTGGGATTTCATACAAATAATATACATAATAATAATAATATCTTTATTTTATAAATGAGGAAACTAAGACACAAAGAGGTTAACTGTCTGATCTCACTGGTAAGGAGATGGAGCCAGTATTTGAACCCTGATTGTGTGAGTCCAGAGTCCAGAGTCCAGGTTTTTAACCACGATGTTACTGAATCCACAAGATGGGAAGCTTTGAATCAATGCTTGGCATGTCCAGGAAGCAGCAACCAGTATGGCTGGCATAAAGGTAGCAATAAGTAGAATAGCAGGAAATGAGGTCTGAGAGGTGGCAGAAGTCAAATCGTGTATGACATTGTAAGCCACTAGAAGGACCTTGGTTCTTCCTCTGAGTGAAATAAGAAGCAGTGGGTGGCATAATCTGCCTTATGTTTTTAAATAGTTACTTTGGTATCAGAGTTGAGAGTAGATTCTTGGGAGCAATGGTGAGAGGAGGGAGAGTAGTAAGAAATGAGATCTTCCTAATTAGAAAAAGATAAAGGAAAGAAGCGATGAAGACCTGAGGCACAGCCTGCAGGAATGTTACAAATGGCAGTAGGGTACAGAATCTAAAGTGCATCATGGGTTTTAAGGCCAGAACTTGTGGTCCAATTGCTAGCTCTCAAATTGCTAATACATTTCCTAACTTTTTATCTGAGCCTCCAAGTCCTCTTCTATAAAATGCAGATAATAATACATACCTTGAATGGTTACTACAAAGATCAGTGATAAAAGTTTTATACCCTGTGGCATACAGTAACAACTAAATAGTTAAAAGCCATCACCATCATCATTGTCATCATGAATACCATGTGAGATGTACAGAATGCAAACACAAGGCTCAAAGAGGCTCTTAAGTAATTTTCCCAAAATCTCACAGAGAATTAATTGTGATGAAACCTAGTTTTTTAATTTATTGTTATTATTAGCTAAACACCCTTATCCAAAAAGGTATGGAGAAAAATTTAAAATCTGCCTTTATTGGTTTGCATTTATAACAAGATAGGAACAAGATACACTTCTTTTTTTGGGATAATATAATTCACATGGTCAGTGGAGAAAAGGATGATTGCCTCCTCTCTAATGCACAAGCAACCAGATCAGATTTGGTGTGGATAAATTGAACAAAGAAGAAGGGATTTCTTTATACACAAGAATCTAGATACATTTTCTTGTTTGCAAAGTCACCAAGAACGCTGGGATTAGGAGGAGGGAGTGCTAGTCTTGCCTAGAGAAAATGGAATACTTATGTGGCTCTGGTGATTTGAAACAACTACCTGTACTGCTTCTCTCTTAGCTTTCTCAGCCTCAACTTTCTTCTTTCTTTCCTTGCCATTATTTTTCTTTTCTTCTTCTTCACGTTTGCTGCAATAAAAAAGAAAATACAAGCTAAATACAATTTCCCATTGTCTTTGGTAATGTATTTTAAAAAGAAATGAGAATCTTCCAGACCAAAGGTTAGATTCAGTCTTTAGCACAAATTCATCCAGTCTAAAATGTTCTATTGCTTTGCCCAAATACAGATAAATGCAGTAGTTCACAATCCTGCTTTAAAAAATAAAACTAGCATGCTTTTTTATCAGTATGTGACCACAGGGTGATCTTTTTCCTTTAGGTCAGTGACTTCAATCAATGATCTGAACAAAGCCACAATTGCCTTAATTAATTCTTCCTACCTAAGTAAATAGCATATCAACGATGGAAGCAAGGGGTGATACCAAATCAGACAATGGGCCCATAATCAAAACAAACTATGTTTTACTATAAAATAAAAATGTTAAATATTATTTTAATGGCATTAATATTCAAGTTAAAATCCGAGTTTTAAGTGCAATAATGATTCAAGTCCAAGAAGATGCAACAACCGATTTTTTGAGGTCGATCAGGAGCCTAAAATTCTGGCATTTCTGCCGTTTTCTACTGACATGTAGCATATCAAAGCTGGAAAATCCTTAGCATTTATCACATCTAAACTAGTCATTACCGTAGCTCTAGCAAATTGAGCCAGTGAGAGAAGAACTCTGATTTCTTGAATCTCAGGCCACTGTGCAATCTATTGGCCTACTCTGTCACTCTCTCCTTTAAGGAACAATGTGTATATGCTTAAGATTGGACAAAACATGTGAAAGTTAAGGGACAATAACTTTGCACCTCTTTCAACAGATATTATTTAAATATTTGTCTCAACACTTATTTTAGCGTGAAGCTCGTAGGGGAGTAGGAATCTAAGAAGGAGGAGAATCAGAGGTGGTAATAATAAACTTCTCCTATATTGTCTTACACAGTGGAGCTCTGGCCCCACTCAGCAAAACAATGGCCTAGAAGGCTCTGGACCTGGCTTAACAAGAAGACATTTTACTAAGCAGCTATTACATGGATCTGCCTCTTAGGGGTTTCACTCTCTACACTAAGCCACTTACCAAAGAATTTATTTCACCTGCATATGGTCATGTCCCTGAAAGGATAAATACAATCCTCTCTATTCCATTTATTGTTAGGGTTATTTTAACAGTCCTTACATACTGTCCCCCCAGACTTCTGCCCAGCTGGCTTTCCCTTAACCAATATCTGAATATACTCACAGAATCAGAATATGTCACAGGTAGGAGAGAGATCAAAGAGATCATCCCATCCAGATCATAAAACTTCTACTCTCTTTGTTATGAATGAAGATTATCAAGTGTTAAAAATATATTAGCACTAAATTGAGACTTTTCCCATGACTTAACTAGAAGACAGAAGGATAATTGAATAAAGAACAACATTTTGTCACTATGTGATTCATTATTACTTAATGTCTTGTCCATATGCTTTTAAAATTATCTAGCACACAACCCATGGTATATATTCTACACATTTCTGAAGAAACCACGACTCAGAGATGATCAATAATGAAGAGATTCAGTGGAAGAGATGAGGGTAGATACTCACAACACACTTGCACACATGGCGCACTTGTTTCCATGAATTTTGCCATCTGGGCCACGGATAGGATCATTCTCCCTGGTGCATATGAGCATTCCATTCCTCACTTGGTTCCGAAATTCACTGCAGAGTTCCTGGAAAATGAAGAAAATACTTTCTCATAACGGTTTTCTACCCTTCCTGTACCTTTGTCTATTATGAGGAATAAGTGAGGAATGAGTAACGCAGAGTTAGAAGAAAAAATAAAAGTGATTACATGTAGCAGTAAATCAATAAGTACTTACGAAACTTCCACCACGGACTCAAAATTGTCCCAGCACTACAGTAGATCTATAAATATTTATCATCATCATTCTCCTAAGGGTACTCATAATTTAGGTGCAGAAGAAGGCTGGCAAAATTGGTAGAGACCAATACAAGTACATATATTGTGTTGTGTTGTGCATCACAGTCTATACAAGCTGTGAAAAGTCAAAGATGGGGAGATTCAATAGGCCTAGAAGGGCCTTCCTTCTGGGAGAAATGGAATATTGCTGAGTCTTCACGAGAAAGAAGGAAATCTTGCCATTTGTGACAACTTGGATGTACCTTGAGGGCATTATGCTAAATGAAATAAGTCAGAGAGAGAAAGTTAAATATTGTATGGTATCCTTTATACGTGAAATCTAAAAAATCCAAACCTCATAGAAACAGAAAGTAGAGTGGTGGTTACAAAAGGCTGGAGGTGGGGGAAATGAGGGGATGTTGGTCAAAGGGTACAAACTTCCAATTATAAGATAAATAAGTTCTAGGGGTCTAATGTAAAGCATGGCAACTATAATTAAAAATATTGTACTATCTACTTGACAGTTGGTAAGTGAGTAGATCTTCCACGTTCTCACCACAAAAACGAAATGGTAATTATGTGAAGTGATGGAGGTGTTACAGGTGTTAGCTAACGCTATGGTGGTAATCATTTTGCAATATATAAGTGTACCAAATCAACATATTGTACATTTTAAGCTTATAAATGTTATATATCAATTATATCTCAATAAAGCTGGAAAAAATAACACTAAAATAATGTGCAATATATATATAGCTGAGCTTTCATTTGTCTTTAGAAAGCTGAGAAAGAAAAGAAAAAACATGCTCAAACTAAGAAATAAAAATATATCTGAAATAAAGATATGGAGAAGAGAACAAGTATGAGGCCTGGAGAAACTGATACCTTTTGGAGAGTTAATTGATAAAGTCTAAGGACGGCAGAATCAGATTGAAACAGGAGAGTAACAAGAGGCGCGGAGAGAAGGGGGAATGTGTTAGGACCATTTGGAAAATCTAAGAGGACTTGGAAACTGATCAAATATTATGGATAAAACAAGTTTTCAATTCTAAATTACCAATAAAGAGATGGTTCCAGCTGACAGAAAGACAGTTATTGAGAAACTGACTCAGTTTAAAGGTAAACTTTTAAACTGTGTCAACTTTCCCCAAATAATTATTAGGCTTATACTTTTGCAGCTATTGTTAGGAAATAATAAATAAAGATAAATCTTGTATATGGCTATTTTACGAGAGTAATTCAATGTCTACATACAGATGTATGTGCCTGACAACAGAAATCTAAGAAAAGCCAAATACAGGGACTATCCCTTAAAAGTAAGTTAACGCTACACTTTTTATGAAATAAATCTCAAAATTTGAATTATCATGAAATACAATTAGTACTCAGGAAACTTCTAACCAAGACCCTTTTTTTCAGGTTAAAGATTTTCTTTGTTCATTTCAAGAATGAAAATTGAACAGGAAAACATTTATGCTTATGAAATATCTAAAATGCTATTGTAGAGAAAAACATGTCAGGACATAACATCAGCATTCCTGACAAAATTACCTCTGCAGCTTCTCTTTTAGTCTTTGCTCTCGCTCTTTCTTCTTGTTGACTATGAGGAACAGGGGAAAAAAGAGAAGAAATGGATCTCAATACAATAGAGTAGATCCTTAACATTCACAAGTTGATCATTCCTTGCTTTGACTGTTCTCAAGCAACCCCAAAGAGCCACTCATTGTCATTTATAATTTTATTGGATAATAAATTAGAATGATTCACCTCACCTCAAGAAATGATATGCAAGAGGCAGTCCCTTAATTAATGAGTAAATCTATTTAGCTTTCCAGCAAATATACTGAATTAAGACTTTCTTATTTCCTGACTCTTTTTCATCTGCAACAACTCTGTATATAGAGGTAATATTCGGCTTCTGGGAGGCAATATAGCATGGTGGTTAGGACGAAAGACTCGAGCCAGGTTGCACACGGAACATAAGTTTCTTAACCTCTCTCTGCCTTCTTTCTTTTTGAATGGGGAAAGGAAGGGAAGGGATAGGAGAGGAAATAAAAATATCTTTCTCATAGGATTGTTGCAAGAATTAAACAGGTTGACACATGTAAAGCAATTAAAATAAGTATCTGACACATAATAAAGTGATTGATAAAAGTAATATAAGGGATCGATATCACCAGCATTGTAATTATTATTGAAAGTGAGCCCTCCAAAAATAGGTGTATGATGGCAATGAAGTGAGAGTGAGAGCTCTTAACCATTTTGGATAACTAACGCTATTGCAAATCGAGTTTAGTAGACTCAATCTATGGCATAATTGGATCTATAATGCAAATTCAATCATGCTCTAGAGACAGAAAAAAATTAAATTCGTGAAAATGTTTTAACATGTTCCAATGACCATAAAACTTGCTTGTTGATCAAATTAAAACTTCTTTAAAAGTTGAAAAGACTTTTCATATGTTATAAAAGTGTGCAAGAAATTACTACGGAGGGAAGAATGATTCTTAAAAAAGTCAATAGCCTTTGCTAACATATCCATAAAATATGAGGTAATAAAATTTTACTCCTTTTTGATAAGAAATTTTCATATTGATGGGAGAAACTAAAATAGCTCCCAAATTGTGGGACTTCTCATACTTCTTTATATGGAAACTGATCTAAACTTTACTATGACGGGCCAGCCGGTGGCATAGCGGTTAAGTGTGCATGCTCCGCTTTGGCGGCCCACAATTCGCAGGTTCAGATGTTGGGCGGGCACCAATGCACCACTTGCCAAGCCATGCTGCGGCAGCATCCCATATAAAGTAGAGGAAGATGGGCATGGATCTTAGCCCAGGGCCAATCTTCCTCAGCAAAAAGAGGATTGGCATCAGATGTTAGCTCAAGGCTAATCTTTCTCACACACACAAAAATAATAATAACAATAAATAACAATAATAATAAAATTTTTAAAAAATGAAAAAATAAACTTTACTATGAGTCTAAGTTGACTAAAAAATTTCAGAAGCATGTTCTTTCCACAATGGGATATTACCAGAGGAAGCAGCAGAGCTGACCACTGGGTGGCAGAATTACTTCCTTGTCACTGAAAGATTAACGTAGAGGTAAAGAAAAACAAACTGGTACAAGCCTAAATACAGGCAAATGTCACTACCAGAAGTTGATAATGGCTTTGCTAAATGATCCTATCCTTTCTACACCCTACAATGACAAAGATTATCATTGTTTTCATTTTTCCTATGCTCATATTTCCATCATTCCCATCTTCTCTTAGCCTTTTTTTCATCTATAACTTGTGATAATAGAGAACCTATTTCATATGGTTGTTGTTAAGATTTAATAAGACTACCTAGTCTTAGCTCTTAGCAAGCATATGTTAATTATATGTGTTCAATAAATGTGCATTATGATGATTATATGGTCGTTGTCTTGACTTCCATCTAATAGACTTTTAGTGCTTTCACAGCCCAAACACTATGGGACAAATCTGCTAAGTTATATTGATCTCTACCAGGGAGGACTGAAAGACTGAATCCTTTCAGAGACTCTGGGCATATAGAAAATAAATTGGAGTATCCCTTGGTACAAAGATCAAAAGTCATAAAGAACATCATAGACTCTTATTTGAGGGGATGTATCATGTCGTCTATTCTAAAGTCATACTTTAATCCCCTATACATCAATATCCAACTCCTACACAACAAAATCTCCATTCCTGAAGCAGCCTTTCCCTACCCTAACTTTTGCAAAGTTCATCTTCATGTTGCACCCAAATCTGTCTCCCTGTAGTTCTCATCCATTTTAATACTATTCCACGAGGTCGCACAGAATGAGTAGGAAGAAAGGTAGTGAATTAAAACCAAAAAAACTCCCCAAATTTGCCATACACCATAATGATATATTACATGTAATCTCAACCATTTCCTATTTCAGCTGATAATCCTTCAGAAAACTAAAAGCAATTAGTATGATTATCATAGAGTATTCTCTTTGAATAAAAGATTCTGAGTTCCTTCAGAAATGTCCTGAAAGATATTATTCTGCATCTCTTTACATTACAATAGTTATCATCTGAAAGCTCTTCACTTGTTTTGGGTTTTGTGATTTTTTTGTTTTTTTAGTTCATTTAAATGTGACCCCCAAAACTTAATGCTATGCTGAAGAGGAAAATGCATTATTCACAAATATTTGAAAACTCCCCTTAGCAGTTCCCCGTCCCCACTCCCTTAGAAGCCCTGAGCTCTACTCACAGGAAGACCTCACACATGGAACAGATATTGCCATGCATTTTCCCATCTGGGCCTTTGATGGGGTCGTTCTCTCTAGTGCACAGAAGTTGTCCATCCTTCCTGGATTTGCGGTATTCGCTACACAACTCCTGCAAAATCAAAGAGAGAAGTTCGAGGTATTGAACACAGGTTGGATCAGATTGCAAAAACAGGTGAGGTGTAGACTTTGTTTCTTTTTTTTTTTTTTT